AAAAAAAAATATCTCCAACCCCTCACTGCACAGTAATGTTATAATAGAGACAAGTTTGTGTTTGTGTGCTTGCACTTATCGTTTTTGGTATTTCGTATATTATATTTTTTTCAACCACAATAATATAAAATAATAAATAAAATTATTAACGTACTAAATATAAATTAATTTAATAAAAAAAATTAATTGGGATATTTTAGTTACCGTCCAAATAAACCAGTAATTCTGTTAGGTTTCATTTGATTTGAGATAAAAAGTTCGATCAATTCAATATGCACAATACCGTCAGACACCGTGCACCATAGTGTTATACGAATTGCACATTGATAACTGTCAAAGTGCACATTATATTTTTGTTCACATATGTTTAATTCTATGTTGGAACACACAATATTGATTATTTTTAATTCTATGTTGGAATACACAAAATTGATTTCGACATTTTATTATTATACTATTTAACAAGAAATTATATAAAATATTAAATATAAATATTAAAATACTAAATATATATTTAAAGTATGTATAATAAATCATTTATATTATTTTAGGTTGTTTCAATTAACTAGTTGAATAAAATGTTTAATGTTTTATATGATTTCTTGTTATATATTAATATAAAATATGGATCAAAAATGAAAGAACCAAATATTTTCGATTTGAACTTTTATATTTAAATATGATTATATGTTTTTAATTTTAAATCACATAGCTACACAAAATATTGTTCAATTACTTATAAAAAATATCAAGAATTTAATAAATTCGTATAAATATGGTAGTATTATTTAAAGTGCACATCTATAAACAATATTGTGCATTTTGTATATCATTATTGTGCATTAATTAAGCTTCCATTAAATTATAAATTGGCCTCAAGTACTAACATATACATGTATCAAAAGTACATAATTGCAATTTAGTCCCATAAGACTATCTAATTCTCCAAAAGAAGACCAAATCCCAAAAAGCCATCCAATCACTCTTTGTTCAGTCACAGCTCGCCGCTGACAGCACCCGACCGCCGGATTCGCCGTCAGGCCGCCCTAACCGCCGCCATCCCCGCCGCCGCGGCGTGGTTCGAAATTAGCCCCAAATACATAAACCCAAAAAACGCCCCAATCACCCAAGTCGGCTCTGATGTACATTTGGTGACATAGCTTGTCA